GAATTAGTTATAAAACGTAACACAGACTTTGTACAGAAAATTCGTTATGACCAATAAAATATGACACCGAAAAATGTGTTTTCTTATTTCGTAACAACATAATATCAGATATATAATATTAATCTGATACTAACGGTTGCATTTTGACTATTTTAGTCCGAGTAATGTTGAATTCAGGTTATTACAAACACTTCAATTAGGTATAATTTTTTGAAAAAAAATTTTGCCATGCTCCAAGAGGTCTTAAAAATTTTGTAATTTTAATAGAATTTTTATAAATTTTGTTTTTAAATAATCAATTTAGTAACAAAGCCATGTGATCCAAACCTAGGTCTTTTGGCAGCCTCATATTGGTTTCTGTATGCATATATACTATATATATATACTTATAAATTTTCCAAACCACTGCGCGCCGATTAAATTTTCGGACTTAAAACACAGTAATTGTTAGAATTAAAAACCCCTTCCCTCCCCGGAATTAAATCGACTCGATTTAATTATCTAAAAATTGTAAAGAAATTTATTGCGAAAAATATTACCTCAGTCAGGGTTCGAACCTGGAACCTCCCTCATTCCGTGTAGGGCGTCGTACCAATTCGACCACCGAGGCATGTTAATATTTAGGTACCACCGAGGCATGTGAGGTAATATTTTTCGCAATAAATTTCTTTACAGTTTTTAGATAATTAAATCGAGTCGATTTAATTCCGGGGAGAGAAGAGGTTTTTAATTCTAACAATTACTGTGTTTTAAGTTCGAAAATTTAATCGGCGCGCAGTGGTTTGGAAAATTTATAAGTATATATATAGTATATATGCGTACAGAAACCAATATGAGGCTGCCAAAAGACCTAGGCTTGGATCGCATGGCTTTGTTACTAAATTGATTGTTTATCGTTACAATCCTATTTCTCTTATTATTACAAAACTGTGAACTTTACAAAAAATAATTTTTTCTCCTTCAACATCGTATAACAACTTTAGACTGTCCAAAAATTGAAAAGAATTTATACATCATATAATTCATTTTAAACTGAACAAATTTTATCCGAACCGTTCTTCGATAGGATTGAACATTTCCAAGATATTAACGTTTTAAAAAGTAGAGTTATCAAAAAACTCATTTTTTACAAAAATGACTGCCGGAAATATTGATCATAGGCTCAAACTAAAAAATACGTGTCTTCTCTTTTTTAGAATACTTCTCGGAAAAAAATTGTCAAAATTATTGCAGTAGGTCAGGGTAAAAATGTGAAAATTTCAGCCAAAATGCCCCATATATAATCAGTACAAAATTATTTTTTTCAAAAAAAATAAAAACAAGTAGAAACTTGTACATTGCTTCTTCATAGTTTTTAAGTGTGCAAGTGGAAACTTGCACTTTGCTTTCTTATAGTTTTTAAGTGTGCAAGTAGAAACTTGTTTAAGTGTAGAAACTTGCACATTGCTTCCTTATAGTTTTTAATTCAAAAATTTTTTAAAAAATAACCACTTTATCGATTATTGCCGAATTCAATACCAACTTTCTTTAAATGATACTCTATCAATTAAAAAAAAAATTCAGCCCGATCTCAATATTTGCGAAAGTTAGAGCAACCACGGACATTTCTAAAAAAATAAATTAAAAAAAAAAGAACTTTACCATTCATCGCCAAATTCAATACCAACCTTCCTTGAATGATACTCTAGCAATTAAAAAAAAAACATCCCGATATCTCAATATTTACGAAAGTTAGAGCAACAACGGACATTTCAAAAAAATCCGCCACATACATACGGACACCTTTTTTTAATGCAATATTTCGACATTTTAGAACACTGAACATATTAGCATCAAAAACTCAAAAACAATCTTTTCTTTGGTTTCTTCTACCCCTATTTCATATATAATTTATTTAAATTTGGTTGATTAGACCCAACTTTATACGCATTCAAAGGTTCATATACGAAAGTCACGAAAACAAAGCTTCCTCTATGAGGAAGCAAAAGGCGCCAAGTACATGCGTAATGTATGTTGTAAATCCAAATGTATGTTGTATATCCAACCTAAGTGGTAGTAGCTTTATTTCTTTTTAACAAAATTATTATATCACAAAATTGTCCACTTTCTGGCTGTATTGCTAAAGTCAATAAACATATATATATATCACAAAATTGTTACCTAACTCAACCCAAGTTTATCTCAAAAAATAACTTTTGCACTTTTAAACGATTAAACCCAAGTGGTACGTATCTTCGTACTCCTATTTAAGGATCTTCCTATTCCAACCTAAGTGGCAGTAGCTTTAATTCTCCTTAAAAGAATAATATCATAAAAATGTATTACCTTACTCAACTCAAGTAATATGTAAAATTAAATACAAAATTAAACATTTATTTAAAAGAAATAAGAATTAAAAATGCAAAATTTAACGACATTTCTTAATTGTAAAATTTAACATTTCAGACTTTGCGTTGCAATATCTCCGCTCGTAGGGCACGTAGTGAAAAAGTAAAAACATTTTTATAACATAATTCCAACCCAAGCTATCGATCAAGCCTACTTAGAACTTGATCCGTTCACTCGTTATTGAGATCTCAAAATCTCGGGTACTTGCAACCCGTCCGTTCGTGTAAAGATACACGGCAGTCTCGCGCTGCACGTGTAACTTGGCGCGATACATTACAGTGTCTCTTGATATCATGTTGCCTCACTTAGGGCCGGTTGTTCCAACCTATTGGTAAACTAACTGTGTAATAGTTAAATAATATGTCTAACCATTAGGTAGTTTACCAACAGGTTGAAACAACCGGCCCTTACTCATGCATACATATATTCACCCATCAATTTATCCACACATCCAGCCACGTATGCATTTGCGCACGCGTGCACATACACGCATACTCGCACACAAGATATAAATTCAATCGTGTAACCTCCACGTAGAAATAACTACCTTATGTAATTTTAATGCCAGCGGTATCGAAAAATACACGATATTACATCTCCGTAAGTTCTCAATAAAAATATTAACTATTATAGGTCTTTGGAAACGTTTCAACATCAGCTACAAAATACTGTTATCAAAAATAGAGTATTTTATTTAAAAAATTAAAAGTAACTTTTTCACGTGATCTTGAAAAATAGATTTTTTTTCGAAAATTGATTTTATCATTATTTGTCCCCTTCTAGATCATACAACTTTTATCTGAACATTTTCTTTTAAAACTAAAAAAAACGAAAATTTTGGATTGTTTAAAATGGGACATCCTGGTATAATCTTCTTTTTTAAGGTAATTATGGATATTAAGACCCCACTCGCCAATAACCTTGACCTTGACATATGTTGTCAAGGTCATGACCCTGAGTAACCTTGACCTTGAAAAAAGTAGTGGTCACGATCCGTTCAAAAGTTACGAAACATTAAAGTTTTCGGTTTGCAAAATTAGTTGTATATTGCTACAAATATTCACACAGATGATCGATTAACTATCTTGTAAATGACTAATATATATGTAGAAATAGTACATGTACGAACAAAGGAAAGTGTTTTAAAGCAGTAAATGGAAATTTTAAAAAAGTGAAAAACCAACGCATGTACTTTGAAGGCACACTTGTGTCTAGTTTAACAATAGTGGAGCCTCAGCATGACTCAGGGCCATGACCTTGACAACATATGTCAAGGTTAAGGTCATTGGCGAGTGGTTTTAATATGCATAATTACCTTTTCCAATTGTTTACAAGCTAAAAAATCTTTATTTGCACAGTAAATTGCAAAAGTAAAAAAATTTGTTATATTATTGTTAAAAACATTTTTAAATTTATATCTATTCAGTAAATATAATGCATGTCACTCGTATTAAATAATATCTTATTTTTGTATCTTTATGTAAAAAAATAAAACATATTTATTAGTTGGATCTATCAAAAGATACATATGGTAATGTTTCTAACCAAGTGTATGTACCAATGACACATGAATGGCAAACCGCCTAATTGTGAGTACCTGAGCTCTTAGAAAAAGCCAATCTAGTTCTCAATAGGTTCAATCAATAACTAAATATCTATATTTTTCATATGAAACATATAAAATAAAACTTTTGTATAATAATTCATTAGTATATTTCTCAATTATGAAATTTACTATATACGCAAATCAAATGTGTACTTGTAAAAATAAAGATAAATAAACTACATGTTTCTTTTTCAAAAATAATTACCTTCTCTAATTGATGTGCACCATCTGGCAGATAATCACCTGGTATACTTTGGATACTGGGTAAATTAGGCATTGTTGGTTCTAATCGGTCAACAAGTAAATTGTATATAGCTGATACATGATCAAAAGTATTTCCTTTAATGGCTTGTAATAACGAATCTGCGTTGAGTCCAGGCAATCTTAACATATTTTCTATTACTAATTGATTTAATGGTGGTGGTACATTCACATCAGGATGACATCTGAAAATACAGAGAGGTAAAATTAAAAAAGAATAAGATATAATAATAACAAAATGAGCCTAAATCCTAAATGTTTAAAGCAAATATTCGTTTTTCAATAAAATTAGTAAGTAATTATTGTATTGGAAAATATATACAAGGTGTTTGATTTAATCTGTTCACATAAGGGCAATAAGTTCATAGTGTAACCAACAGATAGAACCTATTCGTTTACCAAAAACCCCACTATCGCACATTAGGAACTTATCTCATAATACGAGACTTTTTCTATTGTTTTAGTTGCCATTTTGTAAAAAATTATAACATAAAAACAAGAGGTTTAAAAATTTTGCCTAATTGTTTTGGAAAGAATTAAAATACAACTAACGTAAAGTAGTTAATTTAATTTAAGTTAATTTTACTCAAAGTTATACTTGTATTAAATATAATGTCAATGTTTTGAAAAAAATTGCACAAAAAAATTCATTTTTTAAACCTTTTTTTACTTAAAAGCTAGAAAAAAAATGACAATTTTCAACACTAAGATAAAATTTTTAACTTGTATCTATATGAAAAGCTTTTGAAACCATATGTTTACATGCTCTTTTCTTTATAAAATGACTTCAAAAATCAACTCCTATAAATTTAATAGTTTAAGAAACACCTTACATATATATACAAGATACTCCAAATTCTCGCATATGGAGTACAAAATGTGATTCTTTATGCTAAAAGAAACAAGTTTTCCTTTTAGCAAAATTGCGTCTGATAAGTAGCTTTCACAGGAGAGCAAATTAAAGTTAAGGACTAGGGCTCTTGTTTATGTGGCGTTCAGGAGTGGCACACGCTCCTCATTTGTACCTACTTCTTGACCTTTTTCTGTATTGCTCAAAATATGATAAAGTTAACAAAATAAGTATTGCTTTTATTTTTTACGTAATAAATAAAAAAATTTTCTAATTCCGCACGGAGAGAAAAATCTTACTTCTGTGGTATGAGCGCCTCCCATGCATAAAAAGCATGTAGCTCTTCCTTGCATCAAACGCATGAATTTGTCCGTTTAAGGCAAAGATAATATCCTACTTCATGCTTTAAACGGACAAATTCATGCGTTTGATGCAAGGCAGCGCTACATGCTTTTTATGCATGGAAGGCGCTCATACCACAGGGGTAAGATTTTTTTCTCCGTGCGTACACTGTAAAAAAATTTTGTAAAATTACAACTGTTATAGTGGGTAATTTTGAGACCCACTAATAGTTGTAATTATACAATATAATAGTTGTAATTTTACAAAATTACAGTACGGAAGGAAAAAGTAATTTTGTATTACAATTACACAAATTAAAAATGTGTGGAAATTTACATCTATTACAGTGGGTCTCAAAATTACATGTAATTTTACAACATTTTTTTACAGTGTAGCACCATCTAAAATTAAACGTAAAATTAAGAATATAAATAGTAATATACTTTGTGAGTTGAACGTTCTATATTATTCTAAATATTTCACAATTACATATAATAGTAAAAATTGCTAAATATTTCACAATTAAATATGACAGTTAAATAACATCACTAAATTTAAGGACGTTCACCGGTTATAATCGTAGCTAAAAGTTTCGCGCGCGTTCGGCTGTCTTTCCGTACAGCGCGACTCTCTTCCCACTTTACAACTTTTAGCGTGGACTATACAGTGTTGCCACTTTTCGCACGTTAAGCGTGTTTTATAGTGCGGTTTCGGTGCGTTTTATACATAAACGGGTATTTTATTTAGCTCGTGTCTTGCGGGCATAACCGTTTTTTGTGCCGATTTAAGCGTTAGATAATATCTTATCCCGTGGAATTTGCGCGTAACCCTGTTTAAAATAATAGATACAATATGATCAGATGACATTATATTACATTCAATTTCAATGTAAATTAATAAGGTTTTTATTCATTTACATTGAAATTGAATGTAATATAATGTAATCTGATCATATTGTATCTATTATTTTAAACAGGGAAAGCAATGCAGGTGACTTCGACCCCGTGCAGCCTTAATCCAAACGAGGAATCCCCGAGCCAGCGTAGGTCCTCGATTCCGCAGAGTGAGTTTGTAAATTTTATTAACAGCTTCAATGAGGAAGCTTGAAACTTGCCTTTGAGCCCAGTATCTACATCGGTCTTAAGATCCCGACCTTCGCCGAGGGACCGCAGCCCCTTCGGGATTTCAAAAAACAGGCAAGATCTTTCCTTAGATATGGGGGAAAGAAAGAAAAATAGAAACAATAATAAACCTTCAAATAAAAAGGACTTTTGGGGCGACACCGTGACCTCCTCTCGCCCTCGCCCTCGTCCTCGCTCTAACGCGGCTGGCGAGTATAATTTAAAAATAATAATTCTCACACGCGGAAATCACGCCGCGACGGATGATCGCAACCTTGAGATTAGAAAAAACGGCTCTCATAACAAAGATAGTATTTGTAATGTGCCTTGCCGAAACGGGGACTCCCCCGAGGACCGCTCTAACTACGACTTTTTGCCATGCGCCTCTGACGCGAGTGTAGATATTAAATTGAATGGAGACAATCGTAACGAAGTCAGAAGGGGCGTAAAGAAGCCAACCGAGGGAAATCCGTCCCCGGGGGGATCCATATCGCCCGCAACTTCGGTCCCGCCGAAAAAATATAAAAGAAAAGCCAATAGATATAAAGATAGCGAGTTTCCTCCGTATCTCGTGTACTTCCAATACGCGGAATCTAATATCTCCCTCGATCCCTTGCTGATTGCTGATTTATAAAATCATTAACGTTATGATAAAAGAGGATGTCACTGAAATCCGCGCAATTGGTAACAACAAGGTTAAGATGCAGTTTACCTCTCCCCTTGGAGCCAACCGTATCATCGGTCACCCTGCGCTTAAGGAAAAAAACCTTGTCGCGTTCATTCCTGCTTTTAAAATTATGAGGATAACCTTCGTGAAAGGTATCCCGTTATATTTAAACGAACAAGAACTTGTCAAGGAGATCAAGTTCCCGGTAAAAATTATTTCTATTCAACAAATAAATCGCAAAATAAAAAAAGACGGTGAGGTTAATTTTGAACCTTCTAAAACATAGGTCATAGTCAAATTTGAGGGACAAAAAGTTCTCAAAGAAATTTCTATCTATAAAACTAAGCTTGCGGTGGAAACTTACATTCCACAAGTATTATCATCCTTATCATCCTTATGCATAAGGGTGAGAAATGGATTCTCTGGCAGTCCTCTGGTTTGTCGTGAAAGAGCTGCGAGCATTTCCTACACCGGTTTACCCCGACAGTTGGCACTAATGTGGCCGAAACGATGGCAGGAGAAACAAATTTGTACCCACAACAAAATTAATGAAAGATTTATTACTTTTACCAAAAAGTCTTGGCTATAATTACCGGTAAAATTGATAAATTTGCTATAATTTATCACATTTATCATCGTATCTTGAAAACATTTGTACAGGTCACGCATTCTGGTGTCCCAACTGCACAAGCCGCGCCTTTTGGTGTCCAACTGCACAAGCCGCGCATTTTTGTGTCCAACTGCACAAACCGCATTTTTTATTGTGTCCAGATGAACCGTGTCTAAATAAACCGTGTCGAAATAAACGGTGTCCAATTGATCGTGTCCAATTGAACGGTATCCAAATGAACGGTGTCCAAATGCCTCTCTCCCACGGTTATCAACTTCCTCAAGCAGACTGGTCAAAGAATCATTCCGGTGATGGAAAGTACAAAAAAACGTGCGAGAGCATCTATCCCAGATTCACCAACAAAAGCTCCGCGAGGATCACAACACCTGTCTTAATTTTACTAATGGTAGATCCAAATACGATAAAGGCTCTCCAGCATTTTGGTTTGGCATTCCTTCTAACAAAAGCGTTCCCAATGATGAAAATCCAAACTCTAATTTATTCTGTGATTTCCTCGGTCCTCAGATTATCAAAACAATTATCGATATAATAAGCAAACTGCCAGAATGCCCTCAAAGGTTCACAGATATATGAGATGATATGTCAGTTCTGTATCATCTTCCAAGGTTTTAGCGGCCGGTAAATGAATCAAAATTCAAGCATGGTCGGATTATTTTCAGGTTTCAGTATCCTTTATTGGAACAGTAGGGGAGCGGTCCACAAAAAGGCTGAAGTTGAAAAGCTATGCGAGTTTTACGATATAATTGTCCTATCTGAAACTTGTTTAAAACCTAATTATTCCTTTAACATTCGCGGTTTCGGCGTAATACGCAAAACAGTAACGTGGGCAGACGGGGTATAACTATCTTGATACGGGAAACAAATTCATTCACGGAAATCGACCTAGACAAGCTCTTAGACCCATCAATTGAAGCCATCGGCCTCAGGATTGTGGTGGGAAGCGCCAGCACAGCTATCTTGGGTATATACAGACACCCGGGCACCCCTTGTCTCCACAGCTCATGGCAAAAGATTTTTAACCTCGCAGAATCCTTTCAACATTCTTTAATACTGGACGATTTCAACGCCCATCACCCTTATTGGGGAGCACCCCAAGCGAACTCGACTGGCAACATAATCGTCGACTTATTGGACAGAATGCCTTTTAGTTTACTCAACCCCATCACTCCAACATTTATTCCTCCTCCAGAAATGACACCTTCATTAATCGATCTTGCCATTGGCTCCTCGAATTTTGTGCCAATATTGAATACCAAAATTCTCAGCGACACTTTTGGGAGTAACCATCGCCCGATTTTGATTACCATAAACCAAAAGGTTAAAACAAAGACCATTTTCTCTCATAGATGTAGGTTCACTCGGAAACAACTTGAAAATTTTTCCCGAACGCTTGAAAATCAGGCTGAGAGGTTTGAGAAACGCGTTCTCGAATGGGGTGATAACGAGCCATTGTTGTAATACAAAGCCTTTTCAGAATGTTTACAGAGTATCATTGATCTGTTCTCTCTGCCGGTCAGGGACTCAGTGTCCCTTGGGAGCCGGGACCAGAATGGCGCGTCGGACAGGCCTCCCCC